GCCACAAATGCACGGGATCCCATCCAGATGCAACTCCAATCGTCTCCGAAATGCTGTCAGTATGTCCGATGGGGGCACACTCCGCATCACGAGCAAACATGCAACTGATTGGACACAGTTCAATGTTTCCTGCGATCCTCTAAGCATGCATGGCCAAACCGTCAGCATGAGAGAAACCAGCTCGCGCCGAGGAGGGGCAGGCGCCCACAAAACAAAGCTGCAACCCCGCTGCCCCCTTCAGAAGATGACCAACATACACGGCAAGTTTTAACACATCTGTTTTTTTCAATATCGGATTTTAACACATGATTAATTTATGAATGCATTTATGCATGAACTCATCGTTGTTTCTAATACTAAATCCCCGCATCTTTAATACATGATCCGCACGCGGAACATGTATACAAAACGGCACTGTACCTCTCCGTCTGTCCCGGCCACGTGGCAGATGCCGCGGGGGTTGGGGGGCGCAAGCGGCGGAGAAACGTAAACGACACGAGGAAGGCAGATTGCCCCAGTTCCACGTCGACCTCCTGCATGCCGCATGCGGTCTAAGTATCGCCGCCGTGCCATGGGCGCCCCAGGGGGGGGGGGGCACGGACAAGATCAAGAGGCCACAGGAGGGGAAACAGGGGAGGGGAGCGGAGGGGGCGCGAGGAAAAGGGCAGCGAAAAAGGAAAAGGCAGGAGCAGAGGGGGAGGGGGAATGGAGGGAAGAGGGGGGAGGGCAGGGAGAGAGGGGGAGGCGGGGAGGCAGGAAAGCAGGACCAGCATGGGGAGGAGGAGAAGGAAGAGGAGGAGGAGAAGGAGGAGGACGAGGCGGAGGAGAGGGCCTGCCGACGTGAAACCATGAATTAAGTCGGGCACGCCCGTCTACAGGAGGAGTATTAAGGTAGTAAAACATGGTCAGGGGACGACTTATTTTTCTCTCGTATTGTTGAATATTTGTTTGACGATTTTTATGTCTCAGGAAGACATGAACACGGATTCCTTCCTACATGACGTCGTGGGATATCGACTTGACAACCCGAGGACGCGCAAACTTGACGACTCGCTCTTCATGTCTTCAAGAATTCATGACGTCGGTCCGACGACCTGATCTTCACGTATTAATGCCATCCTGCCAACGACCTGATCTTCATGTCTCCGTGTCTTCAGGTCGCCGAGCCCCGCCCGGCGCCCGGGTCCCCAAGACGGCGCATGCATGTCTTCATGCCTTCATGTCGTCAGACGAACGTCGCGGGAACCCACGGCCAGCGCAATGTGTGCTAGGCTGTATATGCAACTGTAAGCTACAATCGAGAACGCCATAACAATGAAGTGGACAATGGTGGGCAGGGCGGGGCGCTCTTGCTCTCATGTTCGTTGTCCTCTCTCCGCTCTGAGTGGATCATGATTTGCGCAGCGCTTTGAACCGAGCGGCGGCGAAATATTCTGGGGGGGAGGGGCGCCCAGGTGTAGGGTCGTTCGGATAATCGAGCGGCACAACACATCTGACAATGATCGCGCGCAGCCTGATCTTGAAAAACCGTGGGCGGGAAATCCATCCGGAACGCGGCTGCACTTTGTACGAGAACTTGACTTTCTAGCGCAGCAGTGCCAACGTTTGCAGCTAGTCGCCGCCCAGCTGTGCCAGAGAGGTCAGGAACAGCATAACCACCTTGAATTGTGCTGCGCGGCTAGTCGCATGCAGGCCAACATCGTCATCGATCGCCGTCGGCAATGGTGTCGGCGCGCTGGTCGGTGCCGGAGTGGCTTCTGGATCGGGTGTAGCAGTCGGTGCCAGAGTCGCAGTTGGCGCCAGCGTAGGTGATGCCGTCGGGGCCGGCGTGGGGCAGAGTTCCAAGTCTCCACCAGCACAATGGCCACTTGATCCACCCGCGAAAATCACCCTGACGTTGTTGCTGCCAAAATCCGAAGTGACGATGCCGTCACCGCACTGCGCGTTGTGCACTTCAAACGTAGCTCCAGCCTGGAATCTGGTGTAATCTCCGACTCTGGCTGCTCCTGCTTCCGAGAGGAGTTCCACGCTCTCGGCAATGCACCCGCCACCCGTACCGGAGTGGTAGACAAACCCGACCTGACAATTTCGTAAAAACCCGAGGAGTCGATCTCGTTGCCCTACTGCGTGTCGTGGTCTTTGTACGTAGCTCTAGCCTTGAACCTGGTGCAAGCGCCCCGCGGGGGTTCTGCTGAGCAGACTTCCAAGTCTACGCGAGCGCAATGGCCACTTGATCCGCCCGCGAAAATCACCCTGACGCGGTCGTTGCCCAAATCCGAAGTGACCATGTCGTGCTGCGCGTTGTGGCCTTCGTACGTAGTTCCAGCCTTGAACCTAGTGCAATCTCCGACTCTGTCTGGCTGCCCCTGCTTCCGAGAAGAGTTCCGCGTTCTCGGCCATGTGCCCGCCACCTGTCCTGGAGTGGGAGACCACCCCGACCTGACACTTTTCTAACTCAGGTTGCCCTACTGCGTGATGTGGATTTCGTGCGTAGCTCCAGCCTTAGGCCTGGTGCAATCGCCCAGTGGGGGTTCTGCTGAACAGGCTTCCGAGTCTTCACGAGCGTAATGGCCACTTGATCCACCCGCGAGTATCACCCTGGCGTTGTCGCTGCCAAATCCGAAGTGACGACGCCGTTGCCGTACTGCGCGTTGCGGCCTTCGTGCGTAGCTCCATCCTTGAATCTGGTACAATTTCCGACTCTGTCTGGCAACTCCTGCTTCCGAGAAGGGTTCCAAGTTCTCGGTCATGTGACTTGACCATTTCCTGAATACGAGGTGACGGTCTCGTTGTCCTGCTGCTTGTTGTGGCCTTCGTGCGTAGCTCCAGCCTTGGACCTGGTGCAATCGCCCAGCGGGGGTTCTGCCGAGCAAACTTCCCAGCCCCCACGAGCGTAATGACTACTTGATCCGCCCGCGAAAATTACCATGACATTGTCGCTGCCCAAATCCGACGTGACGATGCCGTTGCCGTACCGCGCGTTGTGGCCTTCCTGCGTAGTGCCAGCCTTGATCCTGGTACAACCTCCGACTCTGTCTGGCTGCCCCTGCTTCCGAGAAGAGTTCCGCGTTCTCGGCCATGTGCCCGCCACCTGTCCTAGAGTGGGGGGCCACCCCGACCTGGCACTTTTCTAACTCAGGTCGCCCTACTGCGTGATGTGTCTTTCGTACGTAGCTCCAGCCATGGACCTGGTGCAATCGCCCAGCGGGGGTTCTGCTGAGCAGGCTTCCGAGTCTTCACGAGCGTAGTGGCTACTTGATCCGCCCGCGAAAGGTCACCCTGACATTGTCGCTGCCAAAATCCGAAGTGACGATGCCCTTGCCGTGCTGCACGTTGTCGCCTTCGTAGGCAGCTCCATCCTTGAATCTGGTGCAATCTCCGACTCTTTCTGGCTGCTCCTGCTTCCGAGAAGAGTTCCAAGTTCTCGGCCACGTGACTTGACCATTTCCTGAATACGAGGTGACGGTCTCGTTGCCCTACTGCTTGTTGTGGCCTTCGTGCGTAGCTCCAGCCTTGAACCTGGTGCAATCGCCCAGCGGGGGTTCTGCTGAGCAGACTTCCAAGTCTCCACGAGCGTAATGGCCACTTGATCCGCTCGCGAAAATCACCCTGACATTGTCGCTGCCCAAATCCGAAGTGACGATGCCGTTGCCGTATTGCGCGTTGTGGCTTTCGTACATAGTTCCAGCGTTGAACCTGGTACAACCTCCGACTCTGTCTGGCTGCTCCAGCTTCCGAGAAGAATTCCACGTCCCCGGCCACGTGCCCGCCACCCGCACCGGAATGGAAGACCATCCCGACCTGACAAATTCCTAAATCCGAGGTGACGGTCCCGTTGCCGTGCTGCTTGTTGTGGCCATCGAACGTAGATCCAGCCTTGGACCTGGTGCAATCGCCCAGCGGGGGCTGCTGAGCAGACTTCCAAGTCTCCACGAGCGTCATGGCCACTTGATCCGCCCGCGAAAATAACTGTGACGTCGTCGCTGCCCAGATCCAAAATGACGATGCCGTTGCCGTATTGCTCGCTGTGGCCTTCGTACATAATTCCAGCGTTGAACCTGGTACAACCTCCGACTCTGTCTGGTTGCTCCTGCTTCCGAGAAGAGTTCCACGTCCCCGGCCACGTGCCCGCCACTCGCACCGGAGTGGAAGACCACTCCGACCTGACAAATTCCTAAATCCGAGGTGACGATCCCGTTGCCGTACTGCTTGTTGTGGCCTTCGAACGTAGCTCCAGCCTTGGACCTGGTGCAATCGCCAAGCGGGGGTTCTGCTGAGCAGACTTCCAAGTCTCCACAAGCGTCATGGCCACTTGATCCGCCCGCGAAAATCACCGTGACATTGTCGCTGCCCAAATCCGAAGTGACGATGCCGTTGCCGTGCTGCGCGTTGCGGCCATCGTACGTAGCTCCGGCGTTGGGTCCGGTACGGTCTCCGGCTCTGTCTGGCTGCTCCTGCTTCCGAGAAGGGTTCCACGTTCTCGGCCATGTACCCGCCACCTGTATTGGAGTGGGAGACCACCCTGACCTGACCAGTCAATCCGAAGTGACGATCCGCTTGCCGTACTGCGTGTTGTGGCCTTCGTACGTAGCTCCAGCCTTGAACCTCGTGCAACCACCAAGTTGAAGGGCTTGAGCTGCCCCCTCGCTCAGTGCGCGTCGACGACGTCGGTGGAGTCGGCGGCGGCAAAGGCCAGCGATACGGCCGCGAGCGCCCAGGAGCACTGCATGGCTGCTCTGAAGACCCTCAAATCTAAGGCCTGATGACAAAGTCCGTCTCCTGAGCGGTCTCGGGCCGTCGACGCGAGAATCAAATAATGATCAGAGACATCGCGAAAAGCCGTCGACACCTTGCGGGTCTCCAAGCGCGTGAGAGTGGTCCCCCCTAACCGCCCCCTCCCCAGGGCCCCAAACAAGCAATTTGACCCCCCCCCCCCCCCCCAGGTCCAGCACGAACGCGACATGGGTGAATATGACGGCCTCACCTTTAAGACAATCGTA